AATCGTTTGCTACAGTAGCAAGCAAAAAATAGCTCATAGAAATGGGGTTATGAAAACTGTTTGTTAAAATATAGGTTTTTTAAATCTAAAGCATCCATTCAAAATAATTTGATAAGTTTTTAAACCACCATTTACAAAACTAAAATACAAAATAAATATTTTTACGTAATGTGTAACAATGCTACATCAGACTAATAGTACGAAATATAGAGTGATGTGAGTTTTGGTCGAATTTCAAATAAGTCTAAATGTCTCGCAAACCATGATATTTTCATTAATGCTATTTCCTCATTTTCTGACTTGAAAGGATGTACCTTTCATCAGGCGAAATATTGTCGAAGGTTTACGGGACACCTTATACAATGTGTAATATACTGGGTGATTCAAAATTGGCGTCATTCCTTTTAAGGGGTGATAGAAGCTCACTTGGGGAAAAATTACGGACTTGTACGAGAAAAATTAGTTTAAAAAAATTTCCGAAACTTTCTAGAAGATATTAACAGTTGAAGATCGAATTTCAACTTTATTATTAAGCATTATTTTGAAATTGTTCCATGTTTAATTGGTAGCATATTAGAATACTTAAGCATTCAAAAAGAAAAATTACGATATTTGCTTCAAATTACGAAAATTTTTGATATAAAAAAGTTATCTTCTACAGTTTTTTGATGAAAAGTCACAGCGGCAATGATGTTTTTTGTCATTAACAGATAGTTACTGGTGGATAGTCCTTGTCAATAATAACAATAATTTGGCAAACTGTGACTTACTTTGAATTTTCTTTCACGAATTTGCGGATATGCGATTAGTTCAGGAGAAATGCTACACTAACATAGCAGAAGTTGAAAGAACTCATGCCAACAAAGGGCGAGGAGAGTGGCTCCAGAAAGATAGTGGACGACAATCCATTTTCAGGGCCTTCCAGGGGCACTCAGAGCACAATAACTGACACTTTCCCAAGTACCAAATAAATACCGTGGAAGGGCGATACGACGATACACACAGCACAAGGAGATACAAAGGGAGCAGGAGTTAATTAACTGAATACGAGAAGCTGTTTGATAAGAGTGGATATTAAGGAGATTACACAGACACTAGCTTGCTTGGAGTTAACCATTAAAGTATGGTTTATTTTTAAACATCAATTCGAGGTTATGAGAACAGGTTGACATTTCGAAAGTACGTTCCGCAGTCAACGAATCTTGTTGAATTTACCGTTTATCCTTGTCAATCTTATTGTCACTCTGTATAATTCCATGGTTACCGGAGTTTTAAATAATTACGAAGCAACAGGTATTTGCGCAATGTTTATTAGGTAGATTACCTTGAAAAACAGTGCTGCCGTATTTCGGATCTAGTTTTTTGCAAATTTCTCAGTTTTTAATAACAATTCATTTCTTTTACTATTTTTTCTGTACTCCTATAACAGCGCCAGAAAACAGAGAAATGACGCCAATTTTGAATCACCCTGTAAATGTATAGTGTCAAATCTATAATAATAAGTCGAATAATAACTCCATGTGTTAAATTACATTACATGGCTAGTATTGACAAAAAACAAATTTGCAACGCCATTGCAACCCCTTTCCAAGTCTGCTTTCAGACCTGTTACTTTTCGCAAGCTGGATTTAGTTTGTTAATAACACATCCAAAACCTTGTACTTTAAAGGGGTATTGATGGAATAACCCGTTGAGAAGTTACTACAATCGCCAAATATTTTTCCGGTATCAAAGAGGAACTCTGTGGATAAAACTACGTCCTCGTGGTGAAACTTAAACGTTAAACCTCTGGCGAGAACTCGAGAACGGCCCTGGAGACCTGTTAATCTTCGGCAATTTTCTTACTGTCAGTATTGTTGAACGAAATGTTAAAATACCTGGTAGTTAAAGTTGCGTCACAGTTGTTTTCCAAGAGAAATAAGGCAGCAAAGTTGTCCCTTCTCTTAATAGCTCTGTGTAATAAAGACTCTCCATCAGAGTCCCTGATATTAACATCAGCATTGTGCTGAATTAAGGTTGAAGCAATGTTATCGTTTTTTCCTCGAAGGGCCAGGTCCAAAGGTAATTCGCCTTGTTGAGACCAAACATTAACAACATCTGAAAGCTAAAAACAAGTCGCGTATTAAACTTTTATTATTATTTTTTTAATTAGATTACTCTTAGGACATTTTAAAAGATTGTTTTCAATGGCCTGAAAAACAAGCAGGGTGTTACAAAAAAGTAGATTATGTTGTTTATATACCGGAGTTTTAAATAATTACGAAGCAACCGGTATTTGCGCAATGTTAATTAGGCAGATTACCTTGAAAAACATTGCTGTCGTATTTCTGATATAGTTTTTGCAAATTTCTCAGTTTTTAATAACAATTAATTTATTTTACTAGTTTTTCTGTACTCCTATAACACCGCCAGACAACACCCCCCGAGGAATGACGCCAATTTTGAATCGCCCTGTAGACTGAGTCTATATTTGGTACAATTCTGCGTATTTCTTCAGCAAAATAAATAAGAATTTCATAATACGATTTTTTAATTCGGGCCAGGACAGCAGGACTGAGAATCGAAAAACAATATGAATTTGCAAAAAAACTGTTGAAGTTTGTTGGAGACCGTGATACTAATTGGTGATTCGATTGCGTTTGTAATTGCTTCAGTAAAATTGTTGCTGCTAAATAGAAGCGGAATTGTCTAGCATGCAAGGGTGGATCCAGGGGGGAAGGGTAATGGGGGTCATGCCCCCCCCCCCTTGTGCTGAGTTTATATCGATTAACGATATTTTTTCTAATTTCATAGACAACAAAAGACTGAACTTCTACTACATGACCCTCCCCTGACTTGAAAGCTGGATCCGTCTTTGCTAGTATGCCTTATAAAACAAGGAAGAGAAACACTGGACGATTGGGTCTAAGAATTGACGCATATAGTGGACGATCTAAAGGTTACGTAATGTTAATGATTACCTTGAAAAACATTGCTGCCGTATTTCTGATCTAGTTTTTTGCAAATACATATCTCAGTTTTTATTAATTATTATTTTTTTTACTATTTATACTGTACTCCTAAAACAACTCCGGAGGAATGACGCCAATTTTGAATCGCCCTGTATATCACCTAACTAAATTTTCCACAAAAAGATCTAGACTATGTCTCGAGGAGAATGATGGTCATGTTGGCCAACTTCTAAAGCAATTTTAAACTCATTCTAATTATTTTAATTATAACAATTAAATCATCAACAATTATGACAACGATTCCTATACAATACATATCCTACGTAATGACTTTATGTCATAGGACACCCTGTATAGAACCATATCACTGCTTTATCTGTATCTTTGTCATGTATAATACATGCAGTGTAGTCAGCATATTGTAACACTTGTCCTTTTGCATATTGTCACAGCCACATTGAAGTCATGGTTATGTATGTACATATGTCGTGACAGTATATTATAGAGAAAGCGATAGCGCGATGATCCTTTGCGCACCCTTGTCCTAGAGAAAATGGATAATCGAAGACATTGTAAATTGCATTTCTAACTGTCTAGTCTCAAGTACTTTTTTCATAATGTTATTGAACCATTTTCGCGTTTGTAGTCCATGCAGCTCGTATAATAGTCATATGTGCCATACGCTGTCAAAGGCCCCGCTCATGTCCATGAATAAGCTTGCAGATTTTCCGGCGTTAAGATGTGTTGTTCATTGAGACAAAGAAAGGGTCGCAGGTCGAAGCCAAACTCGTAGAACACGATATATATTTTCCGTCTAGATTTTGCAGTCTATACTGGGGCATTTCAAGTTTTCCCGTGCAGGGGTTTCTTATATTGGACTAGTGTATAATTAACCAATAGCAAATGCCTTACAGGCAATTCAAAAAATCTATGTAGGATTTTGTGACCCAATGTACCTAGACAATTTAAAAAAAAATTGATATGTTCAACATATTGTAAATATATAAATTCGCCCGATACTTTACGACTTGGATGGTGACGAATGTTCACAGCAGACAAATACTCCTATTGAATCATGCTTCAGACAAGAGGTCTCCCGTTATCTGACTCAGACAAGAGTACAGATGGACTTCCACGATATAAATCTGTTTCCCCCATGTCCTTTGTGACGTCATTAGCGGCATTCGTTTTCTGGCGCCGACACCATTTAATGGTCAATCGCAAGATCAAAACTGATTTCACCAATGGTTATATAAATAAAACCAATCAACAGAGTTTTGCTTGCTAGATATAGAATATTAAACGGTTCGTCTGACTTTTGTGTATCGTAAAAAAATATACCGGTTTGTTTTTTGTGATACAGTGATCCAACGAAAAAATGTGTCAAATAGAAAGTTAATATCAGAGAGAGGGAAGTTTATTCGTGTTAGAAAAAAACGTCTACTTCCATCTTGTAGGCTAGGCAGGGGCCAACTTGATAATTTCAAATAGTAACCACGTCATTTTACTGCAGATTCGAGAAGTACGTCATAAACTGAGAATGTGTTTTCTAAAACATTTTCTGTGATTTTGACAGATGGTGATCTATGGGGCCAAATATATATTGCCACATACTCGATTTCTGGGATTTCTGGATACATTGTGGCATTGTCAATAAATTTCTAATAATCTGTATTAAGCTGATTAAAATTGAAAACAATTAGGCCCGTAAGTCATTCTAAGAGCCGCTATTTTATTTTGACACAAAATTTCTTATTTGAGTCCTGTCAAAATTGGAGAAAATGTTTTGAGGCACTGTAATATAATTAATTTATAATATTTTTATTGGTAATATGCATATTATGCAAAGTTACTCAGATTAAATTATTATGATTAGTAGCTACTAATTTGCTTTTATTTTTTTATGAATGATGTATAGCTGCACACTGCACACGTTCCCGATAAAAAATAATGAATAATAAAAACTTGTGGGAAGTTGAAATAAATAAATTCAAACCCGCATTACTTAAAACTTTGTATCTGCGTTCTGTCCGACCAATGGTGGAAATGCCGCGGATGTACTATACGTCTGGCCGCAAAAATTATATCAAGCCTTTCTACATTGTTGTCGAYATGGCTCGAATTTCGTGCCAACCAAAARYCTCATGTAACAAATGTTYTGATGTTTTGKKTTRGATAAATTATACAGGGAGMCTCAAAATTGGCGTCATTKCTCTGGGGGTGTTTATAGGTACAGGAAAAATMGGGAAAAAAAATTAATCAAAAACTGARCCAAAAAAAACAAGATCAGACGGRCGGCAAGGTTTTTCAAGSTAATCTGCCTCATTAACATTACGTAAAGGCGGGTTGTTTTTCAAATATTACCAATACACAGKTCACACTTTCGTGTGATCCGCCTCTCCAGTAAAAATAWTATCGGAAAAAAATTGTTGASTYCTCAACATCATTGCTTAGAAATCATCATCAAAGAACCGAACTATGACTCTTGAYGATCAACGRAAKTYAARGCATGTAYACTCGTATCTGAGAATCGGTATCAGGCMTYTGAAAAAAATAATTACCATATTTGCTTCAAAATGCGAAAATTTTTCATATTAAAAGAGTACTTCTTCATTTGTTTGATGKTYAAAGCGGCAATGATGTTTTTGTCATTAACAGATTTTTACATGTAGATAGCCTTTGTCAATAATAACAAGCATTTGTTAAACTCATGTCAACATTTGTGACTTCCCTTTGAAGCTTCTTCCACAAAATGTACGCCAACATCGAGTTTGCGAATATGCGATTAGTTATGGGGAAATCTCACAGTAACATAGCAGAAGCTGTAAGAACTTACACCAGCAAAGAGCTAGACACAGGACGATTGGCTCCAGGAAGATAGTGAACGACAATAGATGTTCGGGTTCCAGACACAAAGGTATTGGAAATAATTATAGCAGAGCTTTTCAGGGGTACTCAGATCATTGCATAACAGACACTTTCCCAGGTACAAAATAAATACCAACGAAGGGCTACATTCCTACCAAGTATGTAAAATACACAGAACACAAGGACAGATTAAATCAATGGTTTACTGATGGTACAAATTGAGCAGAAGTTAATTAACTGAATATGAGAAGCTGCTCGACAAAAGTGCATAATAACGTGACTACACAGGTACTAATTTGTTTGGAGTTAAAGACAGAAAGGTAAGTTTATTTGTATACACATCAATTCGGGGTTGTGATAACAATAAAGAACAATATCTCCTTGACCATATTGACATTTCGAAAAAGTACGTTCCACATTTAWSGAAACSTATTGAATTTATATTTTATCCATATCAATTTTATTGTCACTTTCTGYATTTTTCCATGGTAACCGGAGTTTATAATAATTACGCCATCTTTCGGATCTASTTTTTTGCAAATATCTCAAATGTTAATACCATCTAATTTTTTWACTATTTTTCCTGTCCTCTCAAAACACTCCAGACAACACCTCCAGAGGAATGACGTCAATTTTGAATCACCCAGTATAGTGGATCAAATCGTGAAAACAGAGAGACACTCAGAAGTGGGAGTGTTRATACATACAAAATATAAACAGTGCATGGAAGAAGAGCAATACAGGGTGTCCCGAAATTGTTGGTCAACAATGATAGGGCCAACAGAAGACCTGACAATAAGGCTAGTACTTCATATAAAAAAATTCCGATCTGGCTTCCTGATAGAATTATGGGCCTTCAAAGTGACAAGTTAATAAATAGATATAAAAATAATTAATAAGAATAAATGTMATTTTTTCTTATTAATTATTACCCCATTTATTTGCAGTTCGTGAAATTTTTGTAGCAAAAGTGGCTCWTAGATACACGTCTTTTTGAATTGGAAATTTATCCGAAATCTTCTTATTGTACACGTACAGTCAAAATTAACTTTTATAATGAGTACAAAAAGGTGTTGCCAAATTTTAGCCAAGCAGTTAGATAGACCCATTTTTTGCATAAAAAAAGTATGCCTTGTTTTTCTCATTGTAGTGATAAAACTAATACTGTTTCGGGACACCCTGTATATAAATGACAGGATATTACAAATAACGATCAATGTAAAAGAAGAAAGAATACAACTGATAAAGCAACAGCAAACAGCTTAAATAGCTGTTTCAAGGTTGCAAGTTGAAACCGACATTTGCGGTATCTGTAACTTCCGGTGAGACACAGAACATTGAATTTTCAGCGCTCATTGTTTCACTGTATATGCTTACAAAAGTACGCCTTAGAACAATTATAAACGTCAAAACGTGACATTCAAAAAATGGAATTGACGCCAATTTTATGAAATACATGATATTCATTTTGGGCTATTTTTATTTATTATAACTTATTGTTCGCGTTATGTCTTTCATTGGATTTAAAAAAATTGTTCGATAAGAGAGCGACAATCTGGTTTTTTAACTCCTTATAGTTAGTATATTACGGTACAAGAGACAAAAGTCGAAATTTCGCCACTGCTTGAAGTTGAGTCATGCACGCAGTGGAGAGCCTTCGACTTTCTTCTCGCGCTCCTTATACGACTTTTCTTGATCATCGTTCGAAACTAGTCGGAAAAAGTATCAGGTTTTGAAAAAAGGCTTTGAAAATGTTGTCAAAACAGCCAGTGACAAAGTCCAGCTGTCAGCGTGCGTGGCGAAAGTTATTATTTTCCGCACGGGATGCAGAAAATTTGTGAGTAAAAGTGATGCTTTCGCCATCAAAAACAGTGGCGAAAGTACGTACTTTCGATCAGAAAACGACTTTTCGCCCTTGAATCGAAAACTACTAGTAAAACATGTATTTTTAATGCCGAGGCTAACTAATTCAGTCCATATAATGTACACGTTGGACAGTTTTTCCTAACTTGTGCAAATATTGTAGTACTTATTGAACTGATATGCATTGATTGATCAATAATCTACACTGCCCAGCCTGACAACGTCGTAATATTAAGCGCAATTTTGTTTACCTCGAGCGAACGCGTGTAGTCCGCCGTTGACAATCAAAATTTAAACAACTCCCCAGACTTTACCATATAAATAACTTAATAAATGCCAACAGGTTTAACAAGCTGATCTAATAAATGTAATTGTTTATATTTCAATGCGGTTTTCCTTCGGCAAATCGAAAAGATATCACATTAATAGTGCAAAGTGCGCGGCTTTTAATAATATTTATTTTGTTATTTATGTTTGCAGCATGTATGTGATGTAGATGCATATCCGGTAAGTGCGCTAGTACTGAACTTTAATAACTAAACATAAAAAGAACACTTAAATACACACTACACTAACCGTTTAACACATTTTCAATTCGTTATCCAGCACATAAACTGGCAATAAAAATTCATTTATTCACAATACGTCTGTTTTCCTTTTGTAATCGTTTGGCAAAAATGTGACTAACTTAACTCGGTCGGGTATCGAATGTATTTTTTCCTCGTGGATTAAAGGCTTGTTAATATCTTTATTTATATAAAAACTATCACACAATTTCTGGTGTTATCTATATGGATTTTTACATTTGTAATTATATAAGCGGAGTGTATACATTTATAGTTGTGAAGATAAACCATGAAAAAATCTTAATCCCAATTAAACCGCCCGAGAATTTTAAAATTTATGTGACTAGACTCGTTTCTGTTGCATTTTTAGCTAAATTTAACTTTTCACTTCGAGCAATTCCCAATGAGCAAATAAATATTCGAATTCCTCACTTTGCTGGTTATAAAAATAGGTAATGCTTTATACAATCTCAGACTAAATGACTCAAGAAGCTAATGGTTTGAGGTAGATACTTTAAAATAAAAGTGATTTATYAWTATAATCATAAATTCAATTTTACCACGTTTTCTACACCCGCTCATAATATCTARTTTTTYATTTRCTAAACAAAGATATTGTAAAAAATTATATAGGTCACWTGTCAAWCTGYCTATCGCTTGCGGTTTCAAAATTCCAAGGCAATCTGCAAAAAAACGGCGGTAGATATAAATCGGTAACACTAACTTTGAAATATGCTTTTGTCTTYTTCAACTGGTAAACACTGAACGGTARCCAGCAGCGCTTGTTTAAAATAAAATGATCCATTAAATGTATTCCACCTGATACATGGGTATAAATAAWGKAAATTCGAATAMATATTTAAATTTCAACATATACTTACAWACGTAACKCAATTTACTAAAACATGTTACAAAATCACTTAACAGACTGCAGTGTTTCTTTCAGATAAGTCCACGATTAAAATAGCAAGTCATCTTCTGGCATTTGATGAATGAAGACGAGTAATGAAGAACTGTCTTCATTGCATATTGCCTAATAGAATTATATTGCAATTAGTTCCTGACTTATGTATGCCGATGTCGATATAAAACAGTGAACGATGCTGCTCGATTCGGGCAAAGACTGTGTCTCTGTGATATTAGTTTTATTCATACAAAGTAAGTGAAGTAGTGCTAGAAATGATTGAAACCCTAGAACAGACCAACAGAACATAAAGTGTACACGGAGTGGCCATATAATAAGGTGTCCTCTARMCACTGAATTTTGAATAATATAACACWAGGGAATTTAAAATGGGTGTGATTCTGTTTCGGGRTTATCTCGCCAACTAGGCGAGCRCGAAAACATGTWGAGYTTATTTCTCAAGATTTTTGTCTTGAAGGTGCACTGTCAACTTTGCTATTGAGCAGAAAAAGTAGTTGAATGGTCATTTGGGAGACTATTAGTATAGCTATAAGGTGAGTCCCAGAGCTAATGTCTAAATTAATTTAAAATTCAGCGAACAGTTTTGTGGTCGAAAAATAGGTTACGATCATCAACATTTCTTTTAAAGGAAGCTTTTTATTTAAATTTGAATTCTAAGTATGATTCAGGTAACATGCGCTATACTTAAACGCAATAGTTACCCAGAAATGTACAATTAGATCTATCAATTATTAATAGCGACGATTTCCTTCAAATTGTCCATTCCTAGTCCTGAAAAAGACCGATTTATTCCACGAAACAGAAAAACAATCAAGTTAAATGCTCAAAATGTGTGCTTGACAATATCCAACACGATTAATAAACTCTTATTGTTATTTTGGTATTTTTTTTTGCCTCGTAAATTCCTCGAATTTGGCTAAAAGACAGTACCTGAATTTTACTTAAAATTCAATGGAGAATTGAAAATTGAAACCAAAATAAGAGCTTCCATTTCAATAAATGAAGTTGATAGACGTACCTTGATTTTGGATCACGCTGTATAAATACGTTTAATACAAATAAAAATTGACGAGTTCGAGAGTTTTTTCATTAGACATTACTTCTGGGTCTCACTCTATATTATAAATAACACTTTGAAAAAAGTGGATCGGCTGCTAAATTCGGAAATTTAGTATAGATAACATGTCTATGTGATTAAATTATCCATGATGACTCATAGATAAACATACAAACTTTCATCTGACTCTGAAATAATGCTTCCTTCGTAAATGAACCAAAGTCCGATCTCTAAAGCATACATAACCCTACGAAATTGATGAATTTGAAAACGAGTGCAGTGTCCGAACAGTGGTAAAATTTTAAGAAAATCCATATAACATAATAGTTTCAAGAAGGGCTGCCACTGACCGTTCTAAACTAATCTCTAAACTTTATGTCTACTCCGTACACTATAACTATGGTCGCACGTCATCAATCGTCTGTCGAGCGTTGTTGCCATTCCCATATATATATATCCCCATATATATCCCCATATATTTAATACTCAAAGCAGTATTAAATTATCTCAATCCTGTCTCGCTTTTGCTGATTATTCTTTATGGAATAATGGTTTATTTCAAAAGCACAAATATACCATCAGCACAAACGTCATGGACCTGACAAACACAACAAAAAACGTCATGTGCCTTCAAAAAATTTCTGATAAATCTACGATCGATTCGGCAGCATTGCAATTTTCACCAGGCTAATATTTTTTAAAGATGAACATAAATAATCAACATCGCTTTAAATTAGGTCGTATTCTAAAGTTATTTCGCATTTTATGATTGCGTGAGGTTCTCCAATGCACAAAACACAACAAAAAAGATTCAACTTATCACAAAAATTTCATGCATAATTGTTTTTATGTTGTTAGTCAAATTTCGTCACTGATGACGTGCGACCAAAGTTATAGTTTATGGAGTATTAATGAAATAAAAATAAAATAGTAATGCCTTCAAGTTAAAGGCATGAAATGGGGGCAAGTATTAAATTTATTACTATTTATTGGATTTTTAAATCGGTGTTTTTCATTTAGCTCTGCTTACACAATTTTATTAAACTGGCAAATCACACAATAGTCAATGTTGATGAATATCGACTATGTTCCGATTCAATGGAACCGAAGTGACAAAACAGAAAGATATTCGCTCACAGTTCTTTTGCTTTGTCTGTTTGTATGCAAGTTTCAACAAAAATCGAGAGAAGCAAATAATTTGCGGTTTTATGCCTAATAAATAAAATTCGTCTATTGCAATCACTTCATAACAGGTAGAAACGTGACAAATTAAATTAAATCTAATGTCTTGTATTATGTAAATAGAAAATATCAAATCAAACGTTCGGTTTCGCTGGGTGTCCAGTTGCCTACACATATTTAATAGAATGTTATTTAAGATAAATTCAAAAAATAAGTTAACCAAAAAAATTATTGACAAATGTTCATACTTGAATCAAAACATTTATATGCACATTTTTCCCATCTAGATCTGAAACTCAGTATTATTTTTCATTCGTGCAATTGCTAAATAAATGAATTATTTTAATTATCAACAAACTGAAATTAACATTTAAATTTATTATACAATTGACGACATTCCTCTTAATTCCCTGAAGAAGATTTTTTTTGTCTAATATTATGCAATTTTTAAAATCGAATATTTCCTTTTGCTATATTTCTTTCTATATAAATGACTTTCAGGTAAAGTGTCGTCTAGTGGCAAAGTGGAGAAACAATTTTTGATCAGAAAGTTAGATATCACTAAGTTTAAACTCTCCAGCGATTTTCAATTTGATCCGTGAAAAAATGTCCAGAATAGATAAAAAAAACGTTTGATTTTTTGTTTCATAACTTACTACCATTATTTTAGCATGTAGAATCACACTTAAACATTTGCTAACGCAGTATTCGAACACCCTGTACATATACAGATATGACCTTGATCCTGACCTGATAGAGTGAAACTGACCACAAGGTCAAAATACTACAGGATATAAGTGTCTCATGTTAAGTTAATCTTTGGTCTCAACACCAGATGAAAAAAATAATTTTGGTTTGTGTGGCTGTGTTATCAGTAGTGATAAATTATGGATACACAACCCCTGCGTACGCATTGAAATATAGAGTTAAGTTCTTACAAACTAAATACAAGTAAAATAAATTGCTTCTTCAATTAATACTTTATACGGAGTGCGATTTTCTCAGTAGAATCAATTTGAATATAATGAACAACATATTAAAACCGTCTCTATTTTGTCAACGATTTGACCGATTCAGAGGCCTCGAAAGACAGGTACTTGATGAGTTTTCCACATTGTTACACATTCTATGTTTTGAAGAGCACAATTTAAAAATCAACCTCAAATGTGACGTTGTCATCAGAGACAGATAAGGTTGACATGTTTGTCTACAAATATCTTCCTTGATATGTGGTGGTATTGCGTTTTCTTCACAAATTATGGGCTAGTTTTGCAAATAGAAAACTTTGCGAAATAAACTCAATTTTTTTAAAACAATGTTGCCGGGCTTCCGATTTAGGGCCGGTAAGCAATTAAAACGAACTACCCGAATGTTTAATTTTACTGTATACTTTTTTACCATATTCCAAATGTTTCTTATGTAAGTTTTATGTATGACCAACAATGACTCACTCAGGAACATTGATTGCAATATCAGTTTGAAATATATGAGATACGATCGACCTTCAAATAGCTAATTTAATAATCGGTGCCAAATAATTTAGGTCACAACTAATCGAGTTTTAAATTATTAAGATACGATAATGATTTTTTTTGCAATTTACACTAGTTATGTGCGTGATGGAAACACTACATATTATGAAAATTAATTAGTCAAATTGTATACATGCTCCTGTCACAAGTCGTAATGGCTCTTTGTTCTAAAAGTTTTAGCCTAATTACGAAAAAAAATGGTTAGTTGTGGAGGTGGAACTGTGAATTAATTTATCATTTTGCATAGAGAATACAACTGCTGAAATAAGTTCGAGTTTTTCAGGATCACCAACCTCGAAACTTCAAAGATTTAAATAGATTACATATATGCACAATTAACAGATATAAACAATTCAATGATCTTCAATAATAAATCTCAGTTGAAACTGCAAAATAAATTAAAAAACGAAACTGTAGCAAAAAAACTTAATTTAACTGAGTTCCTCACAAAAACAATTGCGAAAGGCAGCAAACTTAATTTTAAATCAAGATCAACTCTAAATGAAATCCGAATCTTAGCTCTATTTCTACATATTTGTAAAAATTGTATTGGATGCAATGCAAAAAACCCAAAGGTCAATGTAAATTCAATAGTGCTTATTAAACAGCACAAACTTTCGATCATATTCAACACCATTATTAACGGTGTCTGAGGGAAATTTATATAAACACATTTTAAATAGTTTTTCTAAGTAAAAAAGATTTTAGAAAAAAAAACAAACAAATAATAACAACTCCTAACAATCACCAACATTCAACACGGACCGGCTGCAAGACATAGCATTTTAAATAATTCAAAAATAAGAAATATAAACCTTACAATTGCTTCAAACAAAAATAGTATTATACCTACACGTATTGCTTTTGAAAAAGTTTTGAAACGAACAATTTTATTTATTTCGTCACCGTATTAGGCAAATTATTAAATAGCATTTATAAACAAATTAGTAATTAGTTACGTGTAAGCCATATTATTGTGACAGTGGTAAAAGCCGAATAAATGTAACGAGTTTATAGCTGGTCTATAAAAAGACTTATTTATGCAATATGGTAAAGTAAATAACAAGTAAATCCGTTTCGGACATTAAAAAGTCAATAGCATGGTTTACGTTTGACTTGCTTAAGCCAAATAATACAATATGAAACAGCGGTTGAGTCTACATTATTTAATGTTGAATATACCATTACAACCAACAAGTTATTACATTACATTGGTTGCGCAATTAATCAAATTAAGTACAATTGTTTAATTTAATTGTTGTTAATTTTTTTGGTTGGTATTATACGGGCCAAATTAAACACAGGAAGTTTATCTTCATGTTTGTCGACGTTTCGACCCTTTGATTGAGGTCAGTGGCGAATCCAGGATTTTGATCTGGGGGGGGGCTGAGGTCATAAAAAAGTTATACGGTAGCATCGACGCACAGTGGGGTATTTGATATTAATTTCTGATCGAAATGGT